TGGCTCTGCCAGCGCCTCCTCCAGATAACAATACAGCGCAGAACAGGTAAGTATCCACCATAGCCAACTCAGGAACCTGCTCCTCTCTCTCTCTCTCTCTCTCTCTCTCTCTCTCTCTCTCTCTCTCTCTCTCTCTCTCTCTCTCTCAAGATCCCTGGTCTTGGTCCTCTCGTCCCACCATACATGCACACTCCTACTACGAGAATCTACTCTGAATGCTACTCACTGAAGACTACCTCTAACCCTTCTACATCTACTAACATGCTGGCGCAGCTATGGCTGCTTCTGCCAGCCAGCGCCCAGCCCCTTCTATCCTCTTGCGCAGCTTCTTCTGCCAGTGTTTCCCCAGCATGCTAGCGCACATGTGCCTTCAGCACTTCCACGCAACAACGCCACTGGAGATCTGCCTTGTAGGGAGGCTGGCTTGGTTTCTTATACTGCTGGCCTCCCTTCACGAGGCCTGCATTGGCACACTTGGGTCTTCCCTGTCCCAGACCTCTGCAGTGTGTGTCCCAGTACCTTTTCCTTCAGGGTCTGCTGCTGCTGCAGCCTTCAGGCCTGAATTTCGGACTTGGGGTCTGAACCTAGACCTCATGTTAGACTTCGATTGGACTGGGACCTGATCTTTGACTTCACTCTGAACAGACACAACTTCAGTCCGAACAGACACACCTACTGCCTGAACAGACACATGCACTGCACGAACAGACACATCTCCTGCTTGAACAGACATGACTTGCACACCCTCTGGATGAACAGATGTGTCTCCCACAATTGAATACTGCATCTGTTCGCCCAGGGGTACAACCGTGACCTTTGACATGACTTTTGCTTTAGTTAGGATGTGACTTTTGACCCAGAGAACATGCCTTTTGATCTGCTTTTCACGAGTTGGGTTCTGGCCGAATGACCCCACTATGCTGCATTCATCATTCAGGGTCTGAATCAAGTAAAAGGCCCTTTTAGTATACAGGGTTGCCAGGCTGAACGTACGGAGGCCCCTAAGCTGACCCCCGAACGTTCGGGCGTTCGGGTCCCCGTACGGGGCCTGAACCTGAAGGGCTTCGGACCGTGCCAAAAAAAAAATTGCCACCTAAATATTATTATTTTTTTCTGATTTTGTTTTTTATGACTTTGTGATGTAGGCTATCTCCCTCTTAATTTTGAAGCCATTCTGTTCAGCCAAAAAAACATGAAAAATCGGCAAAGATGGTGGTGTCAAATCCGGGTAAAAAAAAAAAAAAACTTGCTTGCCCACTCACTAATTTGTTTTTTGAAACTTTATCTCCCTCCTAAAACTTTTTTCTATTTTCACTTTGTTTTCCCTTTATTTCGGGGCATGAAAAAAAATATTATTTTTTTAAACTTTATTTGTAGATTCCAGGGTAACCGGCGTTCGGGACGGGCCGAACGCCCGAACCCGAACGCCCGAACATATGGGACCCCTTGGGGATGCATTCGGCCGTTCGGGCCGAGCGCTGACCCAAAAAAAAAAAAAAAAAACGTCATCAAAAAAATCTGAAAAAAAAATATGTTATGGAGACAAATAAATTAAACAAGATTTGCCTGAGCATTACATCCGAATTCCTTACCAAATTTGAAATAAAAATTAAAAATACGAAAAAAAAATACTAATAATAAAAATAAATAAAAATAAAAAGAGAATTAAATTTAGTGAGTGCGCAAGCATGTTTTCGACACCGCCATCTTTGGCGATTTTTCATTTTTTTTTGGCACATTTAAATTCCCTGAAACTTTACAGATGTGTACTTCACATAATACAAAACCCACTAAAAAAGTTTCGAAAAATAATAAAATTGTTTAGACCCCGAACTAAAGTGAAAACAAAAAGTAAAAAGTGAA